GTAAAATGGATGGTATATTCGTTATCAGGACCTCAAATAACCCCTAAACGCAAGTTTTCAGCAAATTTGGTGGAAACACCCTTGGCGCAAATTGGCGCGAAATGGCGCCAATTAGCGCCAAGGGTGTTTTCACCAAGGTGGAAGTCATATTCGTTATTGGGGCATCGGATTATCTCTATCGACGAAGTTTCATCGAAAATTAAAATTTTGAGTCTTTGGGGTTGTAATAGTGGAATAGTACCGTAAGACGTCGTGGTTTAAGGTCGTAGATCGTTGCCACGAACAGCTAAAATCCTCACTGAAATCGATGGATACAAGGATCAACTTTTCTCTCCTCCAAAGCGTCATGCGTTAAAGAACGAAGCTGGTGCAGAGACTCCTGCTACAAAGATTTCAAAAAAGATTGCTGCAAAAGTAAGTAATTGTGCTTTTTTTTTCTCTCCGCTACTATTTATGTATTATAAGTATAAATTGTGAGGTAAGATATGTATGAGTCATGAATTTCTATATCTGTAGAGTCTCGGAATATGGTACACCTTTTTTCAGTTGGTTATTCGATCACCTGAAAGCGTTGATGAGAATCGTCGGCCGAGGACACCTCGCTCAGCTGCTCGCCGTCTAGTCTTGAACGAGCAACAGTCAAAGGCTACTCGAAAAGAGGTTCTTAGTTTTACAGTCTTACTGTGGTAAAAGACAGACGTAATCTTCATGAAAGAGCTTCCCGTCGCATTTCAAGATCCGAAATCTTGTTGGAACTCCAACACAAGCGTTTAGTTTCACAATTCTTGAAATAAATTTCATGTAGTTTGTTTCCAAGAACATCACTTTGGTTCATTGTTCAGTCTTATTCGTCACAGTGTTACTTTTTTTCGGATTTATTTAAACTTAATTGCATGATGCCTGTTTTCAGCTTGAAGTTGAATCGATGGAAATTGAGAACGACGAGAATATCCCACCCGTTGGAGACACAGTTGGTCGAAGGATTTCGAGAAGTCTCAGAGGGGTTAGTGTAGTTGTGCATTGCTGTTTTTTCTGCTTTATATGCAAGATTTATTAACTACTGACTGTCCCTACGTTCCTGCGTGTCGTTTCTAGGCTCGAAACGTTCCTCAAAATCCAACGAGGACGCCGTTAAGAATGAAGATAAAGAAATTCGACGATGTCGCAAAAATATGCGAATCCACTGTCAGGTTAGCTTGCGATTTGGTGACTTTTTGACATACTACGAAATGATTCTTATAGGTACCGGTCTTCACCTTCTCGCTTGCCTGGAAGCAAACATGTTTCATCTGACGCTTGTGTAATGCCGGTGAGTTGTTTAAGGTCGTTTTGTCTTCAATTTTTCTAGTGAAAGGTAGGATGTTGTGAGAACGACTTTATCCTACCATCCATTTCTTTGGCTTCTGTTGAGTGGTCTAAATATCCGAGCTCGATTTTTTGTGTGCAACAAATATCAACAGCGTTGCACTGTTCAGCTAAAAACGCGCCTACGAACCGTTCTTCTCAATGACAACGGTGATGTCACGTATCGCACTGTTGGTCCTGTGAGTTAATAAATGTTCAGCTGTAACCGGAGTTGTGCAATTGAGTTTCGATTTAGGAGAGTCCATGGGGTGTCAAGCGCCCTCCTGCTCGAATCATCCCGGTTTCAAGCAAACTGAACAAGCCCCAGAAAACTAAACGCGATCGATCGTTCGATGTAGGAGAACTCGAGGAGTCTTCTTCTGGGGATGATTACTCCAGCGAAGAAAGTTCGGAAAGCGAACCGTCCGATGATGATGTAGAATTGATGGAGGAGCCAGTCGGCAAACAAAAGTATGTTCCTTCGAAATTATGGCCTGGGGAATGTAAATGTTTGAAAATTTCCACTTCAGAAGGAAATCCGTAGCACGACCAACAATCCGATTCAAAACATTCGCTGCCTTCTCTCCTGACAAGAAGAGCAGTACAGTGCGGAATCCTAGATTGGCCGTACGAGTGAGTTTTGTTATGGTTTCCTTTGGATTCACATTCAAATACAACTGCAATACAGAAAGTGGAAACGTTGGAAGATTTTCGACGGCGTCTCCACACATCGGAAGTGCCTGAACGAATGCCTTGTCGTGAAGAGGTTAATTTTTGTTTCTTTGCATTCAACAGTATTTATTTATTTATTAGCTATTTGCACTCACGGTGCACCAAGCTATCAGGCAAGTGTGTTAGTAGGTTCGAACACAACCTGTATACCTGTATACACGGAGCATGATAGGCTTTGACGTCTCAACGATATTGTTTTTCTCTTAGTCCTATTCACGGAGCTCTATATTGACTCTTGTTTCAAAGATATCAGAGCCGCAGGCTAATCAAGTCATCGTGTATACTATCGCCATTGAAAGAAAGGCTACCTCTAATTGCTGGTCGTTTTATTGTAGTCTGCAAACTTGCCAGTGAACGTTGCTTTATTGTGGCTCTGAGAGGCATGTTGTGTCGAATTGAAGACCGATAAGTGTTGTTCAACACCTCTCAAAATCCTAGTCAATAAAAATCCCGTCACGGAAAGAATTTTCGGGGACAAAGGAAGTATTGAAGTGAGCATCATCTGCTCTGCCAGTAGCAGCTTTCAAAATCGTTCGTTTCCAAAAAGGACAATGAAAACCTTTCAAGGTGGAGGATCAGCGGCTGGGCAGGAAACAATACGTGTTCTTTTTTCTAGGAAGCAGCCGCAGTCGAAAAATTCATACGCAATGCGGTATCAACCAAGGGAACAAGCAGTGCTATGTATATCAGTGGCGTTCCGGGAACTGGGAAAACTGCAACAGTTGTATCGGTAAGCGTTAATAATAGTGCGATTCTTATCAGTATTCATTTTAAGAAGTAATTCTTCCAACTATTCTCATTAGACTTCTTGCTTTAATCGCTAGTCGTGAGTCAAAGATCAATTTTCAATGTTGAAAGATACTAACCTGAAGAAAATGGTTTGAGTCTTCAGGTGGTCAAACACCTGAGTCAGAACAAATTGTGCAATCCCTTTTCATTCGTTTACGTCAATGCCATGGAATTTGTGGAGCCGAAAAAGATTTTCATCGCCATTTACAACCAGTAAGCCCTTTTGCTTTTTTTTCTTGCAGGGTTTCAGCTCAGCTGGTATTTGTCAGTTCACAGATGGTATCTCATCATGGAGAATGGTGATTTTGATCATTAAGGATAACTGAGAATATGAAGCGTATATCTGCTGATTCTGCGCGCAGGAAACTGAACAGAATGTTCGAAATGTCCGACAAACACCGTCCGCCCATTGTGATTCTCGTCGACGAACTTGATCAACTTTGCACGAAAAAACAAGAGGTTGACTACTCTTCATGCTTATTATTTACACCAGAAACTTGTGGATTTATATAAATGATTTTCAGCTTATTTACGATATTTTCAACTGGACTGCTACCGACTCAGCACGTGTGTCTGTGATGGCTATAGCAAACACTCTTGATTTGCCGGAACGGATGCTAAGTCAGCGCATATCGAGTCGTATTGTAAGTTTTGTTAGTATTTTCGGCCTAATCATTACCTTGAATTATTTTGCTGTAGTCTCATTGCAGGTTACGTAACAACTTTTTAGTGTGCAAATTACATCTTGAGTATGTTTGTTAAGGGCGCTGCACGTATTTGCTTCCAACCTTATGAATTCCAACAAATAGAATGTATTATTCGTGCTCGTCTGAAGGGGTCTGTCAATGCCATTGATGATGGCGCTGTTCAGTTCGCTGCTCGAAAAGTTCGTATTACAAATTAATGTTTTATTTGAATATCGAACCAAGAATTTGACTGCAGAAAGCTTCTTCTGGAAGTTCTGAAAATTTTTTCAAGGTTGCCGCCGTAACAGGCGATTTGCGCAAAGCCATGGATCTGTTAAGGCGTGCGATTGAGATTGCGATAGAACAAGGGTCTAAGAAGCTTCTCGTGGAACATGTAAGTCTCACCACTTCCTGAGTTTTTCAATTTCTCGAATGTAAATCTGATACTGATACTTAATCTCCAGGTGCTCTCTGCAACCCGCGAGGCATCATCTACTTTGCTAGTGAATTTCGTCAAAGGATTGTCTAAGCATGGCTTATTGCTCTTCCGTTCGGCTGTATCCCTCGTATGTTGCGAGTTTTTTTTTGTTTATTATCATGGGCTTCTCTTGCATTGAGTTGTAACAACTAAGTGCATAAGGTACGTGCGGTATTTAGGCAGAAAAGAGGGACGATTTCTCTTTTGCCGAGCTTCATGCGCAATACTTGTCGTTCGCCACAAGTCTTGAAGGTATCGAACCGCTCATTGAGTCAGTGCTCGTCACGCTTGTTGGCCAATTATGCTCGTGAGTTTCATGATTGCTTCCATTCATTGGTGCAATGTCCAACTAATTTCTGACCGATTGTTTGCTCCTTAAATCTGAGTCACTGTGGTACTTTAGAGTGACCAGTTGTGAATCATCAGGTCGCCATATCATTCGTCTCAGACCGCCAAGACGGGGAAGAGCATTGGCAAAGCCCGTCGGGCAACTGCCAGTCACATGACCATATGACTTCTCATCGCCGTCTTCACGGAGCAGTTACTGCATCCCGAAGGACAGTGGGGAAAGTCATCTGCGTTTCTTACTCGGATCTCCTTGATAGCCACATCTATTTGCCTACATACCATCTCAGGCACGCCGGATATGTCGTCACTTCAGTTTTTCTTCCGAAAACCAACATGCCATCACGTCGATGAAGAGTTATATGGCACCCGGTCCCCAAAGAATCAAACCAGAACATTTAAAAGGTTTTCCGCCAATCATTTCAAACCCTGGCTCGGCTCTTTGGCGGTACATGTCGGAATGCAAAATGCCCACTTCGTTGAAAATTAGCAAAACTGTTGCTGTATAAGAAGGGGGATTCAAACGATAGTGTCAACTATCGCTCAGTCTGCCTGCTGTCCGTGATCTACCAGCTATTCACACGAGTTATCTTTAACAAGATTGGCAGGTTATCAGATGAAGGCAACCATGCGAGCTCGGTTTTGAAGAGATTCAAATGTAATCGATCACATCCACACTGTCACATGACTCACTGAGATTTCGCGAGTACGTGGTAACATTATGTCTGACTGTCATCTATCCAAAAAAACCCTTAAAGCCATCGAGACAGAAGCTCTAACTAACAGTAACTGAAGCCTTGAGGAGCCAGGATGTTCCCACCCATTATATAAGGATGCTGAGTGAGCTTTGAGGCAACATCTCGACCAGCGTTTGACCAAGCCAACGAACATTGTCGAATTGGTCAGCTTTTGTTCCGCTTGCTCGATGATCGGTTTAGTACGTACGATGTCGTCTGCAAAACGGGGATAATGTAAGAAAAGCATTCGACCTTTACTTGCAAATTATACCATTCCAAATGAAGCTACTTCTCTCATCATCTCCACTTTGCAGGCGAGTTCGTGCTTATAACACCAAACATCGAACAGGTGAAACGAATGCTGGTCAAATTCGATAGCGTTCGAGAAAAGATCGACTTCAGACTGAACCTGAGGAAGATGATATTTAAGAGAGGATTGGTACCTGATGCTCCCTTCACGATTAATCAAACGAATATGTCTGAATGCTCTAGCTACCGGCTCCTAGCTGTATTTAGTATGAGAAGGCAACATGAATGACCCCTCTTCGGAGCTGAAGTGAAGTTAACGCGCAGCGTGGGGAACACTGAAGAATATCGAGAGAGTAATGAAGAAGACGAAGAGGTCTGCTCCGCGCTCAGATTTTCGGCACTGCTCTGGCGTGCGGTTCGGAGCCTTGAACTCTACCAAAGCAGGATAAACTCACTCGGAATTTCCTTAAGCACGCAAGTTCAAAAGGAAATCGGGTCTTCCAAGCTTCGCCAATGAACAAAGAACAGGGATGCCATCGCTTACGCCAAGCAGTCGAAGATCAGGGTGGTAGAACACGTTATGCGATATTGTGATGTCGTTGGACCCTGTTGTCGACTGATAGTATTTCCCGGGAAGTCAAAAGTTGGATCAGCACGGCCGTCTGCGTCATGGATAGACTTCCTCGCGAAGACCGAACGGAGGGAGGGGCTTGCTTTGTACCCCTCGAGCGAGGACAGCGATCCATTGAACTACCATGGCCCACTACAGGGAAGAATGGAGACGTTGCTGACGCCCGCTCAAGGAAATTGATCTATGGTCAACAAGACGACAGATGGTATGGCTGCATATTAACTTAAGCGCACAGAGCAAGAAAGAGAAGTTATCATGGCAAAGTGTAAGTGAAGAAGCACGCATGTTGCGATGAAAGCCTTAGTCAACTAGGTCATATGATCGACTTAGATTTCATGTCTTTGAGACGATGTGGTCAGTCTAAATCATTAATGCACCGCACATTATTTTATGCTTCCAGATATTCGTGAGGTGAACAGTATTCCAAAACATTTATAAGTTTCAAAATTGTTTATTTTTTATCACCTTAAAAATTTTGAAGGACAAAGCTTCTAATTCAATCATCTGGAAGCCATGTGCTCCGCCGGCGAATTCGTCTCGGGATGTCCTACCAAGATGCGCAATCTGCTATTAGAATTCGGGAGAACGCTAACAATGGAAACGCCTGAATACTGTGACAGTTCGGTAACAGTTTTTCGTCTGTGAAAGGTCCTGTTCTGTGTAAAAACACTCCACCGATAGATTAGATCATTTTTAGCTTGATGAGTGACTATCGTCTCCTATTTTGGCGTATATTTTCCTATGATCAATATGATTAGTTTTACAGTGGTAGTATCCTCTAAGAGCTCTTTTTTCTCCAAAGTCCTATGAGATTGTTAATATATTCTGTCGAGTTGGGATATCGAAGCATGATAGGGTAGAACTGTATTAATCTCAGGAATCGCGACCTCAGTATGCGGATGGTATGATTTTCATCCTTTGGGAGCTCAGAACGATCCCTCATAACTTTTCTAAGTCATGCGAGGTCCTCTTCACACCTACCCTTACTTAAGCGTTGTGTCAGGTTCATATTAAACAGGTGGGATCCAAGTTTTTTTTCTATATTTCATCAGAGTCTAACTGTCTAGTACGAAATGCACGCCCCTACCCCTCCATCCCTGACACATTGTTTCGGATCCCCTAACATATCTTTGACTTACCTTTCCATGCTTTCAATAGGAGTAGGCCCCCATTAACAGATAAGGTATAAAGAACTAGCTTCTAAGCGACATTGTTTATTTTTTGTTCAGTGTAAGGTAGTCTTCCTATAATCCTAATTTCTTGAATTATTGCGGAGTTTTCTGATTAGTCTTTAAGTTCCGAATTCCGTTGCACACTGGTTTATGTAGTTATATGGGTATAGCCTTTTATACTTGTTGCATGTTTAACTTTGCTGTCTTTTACGATCAATATTTTTTGGTAATGCTCTTGAAGACATGAAAATTTTCACAATATTTTGTAGTTTACCTTATATGTTGTAGTGCTCGCCTTGCCCGTGTCTGTTAATGTGGCACTTGTGACTCAACGATTTTCAAACAGCGCAGGGTACAGTGCTGATCTCCTTTCCCTCAAGCGGAGGGGTGGATCAAGATATTATTGACCCTAACTGCTGCACTCAAGATTCACTACTCAAAATCCCCCATATGAGTGGAACTGTGCTGAGCCTCTTCACACACTCTTACCGAAACTTGTCGAAGTATTTCCCATACTGGATCTCTTCGAATTCACGATGTCTAGTGAATTCTTATCTACTTTGATCTCAAACATACAGCAAAGGAGGTACATATAGTTACTGTTGTACCGAAGTTTTAAAGTGGAAGTACTGAAGTTTAAAGTTTAAAGTCCGTTAAAATCTTTTGATTATTTTTCCATGATACACTGAAGAAAGTCACCAATATAAAGTACTATAAACTGCGAGAGTTATGCTCAAGTCATGTATGTGGTCATGTAACCAGCGCTCTGTTTCATGACGAAATTCTATATCGAGTAATGAGCCGAGTCCTATTAAATAATTAGAA